TTTAATTAGAGGAACACGAAAGTATTCAAAATAAAGGAGCCTAAATCATACGAAAACTTACCATTCATTTTGCAGCTATAATCAACAACCAACTCGGTGGATACACTGCAATACCTCTATGGAATATCTCCGAAGTATCGGTAAAAGGGTTCACAACAAAACACAAGACTGCAATGCAATATCTCCCATGTAACACTTCTTCACACTGGAGATATTTCTGTCTCCTATATGATGAACCTATCACATTGGAGGAAATTGAACATGGACTTTTAAATTATAGGATAACTATTTCTGGATTGGAGGTATTATTAACTTGCGCGGAATGTACAACTGATTAGAATGCTGCAAAAATACCATTTTGACCAAATATGTCACATTGGAGATATTCACATCTCAACGACGTAATATCCAGTGTATTGAGAAAAAATTCCTGACAAAATTTGATGTTCACACCAGACACATATACAAGGAATATTGATGGGATTAAAACAAGATTCAAGGGAGTGTCTAAAGTCAAACACTCCAATCGATAAAAAAAAAAAAAAAAAACGTCAAGACTTGTCTGGACGGCTAACGAGAGCAAAGCGATCCTAGGGATGGCTGAGGTGCCTCAGTCAACGGGGGTAGCGACCCGTGGGCTCCCAGCTTCCTCTACACCGACGCCAAAACACACATCCTCTCTCCCGACACGCAACACATACTCACCAACACTATACACACACACATAGTACAGAGGAGTGCGGGAGCCGGAAAGAATATCTTCAGAGGGAGCCGAGGAGGGGCCTTAGATTCGGATGCTGTGGGACTGGTAGCCGGCGAAAGAAACTAAGGATTGCACACCTAGGCTGGTGAGTAGTACAAAGGCTCACCCTTGCCTAGCCATCGTAGGGGGCTGCCTTTTCACCCACCGAAAAATCTCGGACTGTATATTAGTGCCAGGTGGCGCCTGAAAAAGAGCCCTGATGTACTATCCGAGGGGCTTCGCCCGTGGCTGCTGCACCGTCCGACTGAGAATCAGCCCCACCAAGGCTTCCACGAAGAGGTGGGCTGAAGGATCGCGCTTTGACAACACGCACACACGACACACAAAGATCTACAATTACATTATGAATAGAAATCAAGGAGAAGAAACTGTCAACATGCAGATGGAAGTGGAGGGAGAGCGCCCTGGCTCTGAAAGAGAGGAAGCGGAAACGCGGAGAGAAGAGGAACTTCTCCGATCACCGGGCTTCGAGAACGGTGCTGCTGAGGGATCAACGTATCACTCGACAGACAGCTCTGCAATGAAAGGAAAAGAGAAAGGCCCACAAAAATAGGCAGAGGGCAAGAAGGAGGCAAGATGACAAGGAGAAGGAAAGGGGACACAGGCGGAGGTTGTCTGAAACAGATGGTCTAACCAGACCATCCGAGGGCACCCCGGAGACCACGGAGGAAGCGCTGCAAGCCGGGTCAGGAGGTTTCAGTAAGGACCTCCAGACCCAGCAAGTGAGCGCACCGGAATTGCGAGCCGGAACAGGAAGTCCTTCTAGGGACTCCTAGGCCCGGCGTCGTGGTTCCGGATCCTGGTCAAGGCCTAAGAGGGGACCCGATGCCAGGAGAGAGAAGAGGCAGCAGAAGGTCCTTGCGTGGCCTCCAATCGAGGCCATCAGGGCCAACCTGATAGAGCAACTGCTCCGGACCATGGAGGGCCCCGAAGGGGGACCCCGAGGCCCAGAGCTGCGCTTCAGGAACTCCGGCGTCGTGCAACCGGGATGGTTTCTTATAACCGCCTAGGATCAGACGTCGCTGGAGTGGCTCCTGAAGGGCTGGACCTCGCCGGTCATGAAGGACGTCGAGTTCAGGGCTGTGCCCTCAGCAGATGCCCCATGGCCGGTGACGATCGGTTTCTGGCTCAAGTCTCAGGAGGTGGACGTTGCCAGAGTCACCAGAGTGCTTAGCCTCCAGAACCGTTCTTTGAATGTGGAGAGGTGGAGGAACCTGGAGACAGTAGGAGAGGCTGGAGGGTGGTTCCTGACCTTCATGGTCAGCCAGGAGACTGCCCGGGCCTTGAAGGAGCAGGGCATGGGGCTCTTTCATGAGCTGTTCACTCTGGCGGTGCGGAGAGTGCTAAGCAAGGCGGCGGTCCCCCGGACAAGACCGTAAAAGGACCAACTCCACACAAATGAGGCAGCAATGGAGGGGAAGGTAACGGTGAGTCAGATTGATCTGCAGCACAGCAAGGATGCGATCGGGAAACTGGCAAGCATCCTCACTGGTAAGTCCGAAATAGTCTCAATCCAGGAGCCATATGTTCACAGGAAGAAAGTTAGAGGACTGGGAAGCAGCGGCCACCGTCTTCTAGTAGGCGAGGAGGCAGAGGAGGAAGCACCAAGGACAGCGATCCTGGCATCCAAGGACCCCGAAGTTGTCCATGTGCCGCAACTGGGGAACAGGAATGCTACTGTCGTCGTCTTGGAAATTAAGATAGGAGGGACTTAACATAAGGTGAAGGTAGGAAGTGTGTATTCACCATATGATAATGTGCACTTATCTCCAACGGAGGAATTATTGAATATAGTAAGGTATAATAGGATTAATGGTATACAACTGATATTAGGGTGTGATGCGAACGCGCATAACACGATGTGGGGCAGCACAAATGTGAATGCGCGTGGTGCAGCTCTACTCGAATATCTAGCGACTACCAATTTAGAGATTCTGAATAGGGGAACGGAACCAACATTCGTCAATCGCATTCGACTGGAAGTGATTGACGACACGTTGGCGACGATAGGTATCTTCAGGAGCATCAAGGACTGGAGGGTATCGGAAGACATTTCGATGTCAGATCACCGAATGATCAGGTTCAGCATTCACGCTGAGGTAAAGGAGGCTCCGCTACGCCGAAACCCTAGAGCGACCAATTGGGAGACCTTCCTAGATGTTCTCTCGAGGAGGGGAATATGTGGAGATCCGCTCCTAGGAACAACTGGATCAGGAGTTAGACACACTTGGCAATACATTGATCAAGGCGTTTGGAGAAGCATGTCTCTTGAGAGCGACACCAACTCGTCGCGTACGGTCGTGGAACCAAGCTTTAAAGGAACTGAGGAAGCAGGAAAGCGCACAACAAAGCGACTAAGACAGGAGATGAAGGGGCGTGGTATGACTATGAATCCGCGAGAAGGGAGTTCAAAAAGGAGTTGAGAAAAAGTAAGAGAAACAGCTGGAGAACCTATTGTGGAGAAATTAACTTCCTAACGGAATCAGCTAGACTCATTAGTATTCTGAGCAACGAGGTAGAAGGTACCGCAACAACCTTGAAGAGGGCAGATGACACTTGGACAACATCCTCTGTAGATTCGCTCAGACATCTACTGGAGGTACACTTCCCGGGAGGAGGCGGTGTTGATCAGCCTGCTCCGCAAGTACTGCTGGTCCCTCAGGAGGACTGGCAGCTGGCGGAGAGGGGCGTTACCGATGGCGCCATAGCCTGGGCAGTGAATAAGTTCAAACCATCTAAGGCAGCAGGTCCTGACGGAACTTCTCCGGCAATGCTTCAGAGGGGCCTGGGACTAATCACCCCGGTATTGGTAGGGATTTTCCGGGCTAGTCTGGCGCTGGGATATGTTCCGACAGCCTGGAAATCAGCATCCCAGAAATGGGAAAAAAGGAAAAAAAAGTCTTGCAGACCCATTAGTCTAACATCCTTGCTGCTCAAAGCGCTGGAGAGGGTGGTGGACAGGTTTCTGCTAGAGGGGCCCCTGAGGGCGAGCCCCTTTTACAGGAACCAACATGCATACAGAGAGGAAAGGTCGACTGAAACGGCCCTCCATGCTGTAATGCGAAGGATCGAAAAGACATTAGAATTCAAAGAGGTAACGCTGGGGGTGTTCTTCGACATAGAGAGGGCCTTCGACAGACACTATAAAGGCAGCACTACAGGCCAGAGGAACTCATCTAGCAATGGTCAGCTGGGTAGTATCGTCACTGACAAGTAGAAAGGTGGAAGTAGTTCAGGGAGACCATGGACTGAGTACGGTGGTTGATGGGGGCTGTCCCTAGGGAAGTTGCCTTTCTCCCCACCTATGGTGCTTGGTCATGTATGAACTCTTGTGCAGGCTTACCAAAGGAGGTTTCGAGGCGCAGGCATACGCAGACGATAGATTGGTTCTGGTGAGCGGCCGATTCCTAGGGGTTGTCTGTGAGCGAATGCAGGTAGCCTGCAGGAAAATCGAAAGATGGTGTGATGAAGCGGGGCTCT